TTCAAGGCAAATCAAATCTATTTGGACCATCGTAGATTAAATTTTGAATGATACACGTTCGATATGAACTTTATTAATAAAACTTGTGTAACTAAACAACTCGGCTAACGCCTCGTGATTTTACGTTACACGCGTTTCATTATGGTGTTCATATCGAACTAGTATCATTAATAACTATAATAGAACTAGTCAACAAAGAATAAATATTCAATTTCAATCTTACTAACATTATCTATGAATTTCATTAAAAATAAAATACAAAATGGACCTTATAATCTATGAACAATCCAGAAAGAAGAAATGTAAAAAAGTTTATTAATCCGGCTTTGATAAGTACTAGGTTTAATATCACTGCAGGTTAGATACGTTTTGAAAAATCAACAAAACTATTAAAGCTGGCATCAAAAAAATCGAGATTGTCAGAATATGAATTAACCAATCTCCAGGCAGGGATGAATTAATTTCAATGACCTATTATCACAGATAGACGGATTTATAAACAAAAATATGTGTTGACATGTCCGATTCTTTCTATTCTAACCAAATTCCCCCACTACCAAAATGCCACATTTAGTCGTAGAAATATTTATTTTCTTTTTCTAACGCAGGTATAAAGTCCTGCCTTTCAATTACACTTGGCAACACAGCACTAGACTAAACTCCGCCTCCCGTTTGTCGTAGTAATACGTTCCGTTCTGGCCCAGAGTATCTTGTTGTCTCTATTCTATGCGATGATGATTAGTATATGTTAAAAAAAGACCGATACATAAGATATGTTTGTGTTAGTCTGGAATACTTTTCGAATATCATCGTTTTGGTTTTGGGGCGGGACCAATTGAGCCTGGTACATGGCAGGGAACAGCTGTTGTGGCCGGACTTAGATCGGGCAACTTATCCCCACCATGGACCGCCCGCACCCCAAATCCCCCTGGCCTATAAACATGTTGTCAACACACCAAATAGTATTTTATGAATGGAATACTCTGTCTATCTGTGATAATAGGTTGTAGCAATACGCCCCAATACTCTATTTAAATTGTTAGATGGTAAATGGCGAGCGGTATATTGATGGTGTTTATATACTTGGAGCTTGCTATCTAAAATCTGTGGAGGAGGGTCTATTTGCAAGAGAGAGAAACAAACTAATGAGGTGTACTAAATTATATTTTATTTTACATAAAACCCAAAAAATCATCAGCCAAATATCTTCCAATCCTTTACATCCTTCTTTATTTCTATAAAATCAATACTTCACATCCGTTCTAGATTGTTATTTTACGGACCACTGAAATATCCCTATTAAATAAGAAACGCCCTATTCATTCTATTTCTCATAAATTATAATTTAACTCATTTTACTACATCCGAATCATTCCTAATAACTATCCTTTACCTAATCAAATAATTCTTTAAAGTCTCTAAGTCCTTTACTTATGAAAACCCAAAATAATTTCCTATTTGTTTATCAACTAATTTATTCTCATAAAATCTTACAATGACTTCTACTTGAAACATAAAATTCCTAATTCAAAATTCATTTCATGAACAATAAATTTTTTTAACAACTTTCCCATATTTTAAGACAATTCTATTTCATGAACTTCAAGTTTCTTTCCAAAATTTTCTATTTCCTTTAATAGTTTATTTAATCAGAACAAATTCTATTATAAGTTTCCTTTTAACAACTTTCCAATATTTTAAGACAATTCTATTTCATGGACAAGTTTCTTTTCGAAACATCCTATTTCCTTTTAATTAGTTTATTTAATCAGAACAAATTCTAATATAAATTTCCTTTTAACAAGTTTCCAATATTTTAAGAAAACAATTCTATTTTATGTCATCCAGTTTCTTTTCAAAATTTCCTATTGCAGTTAATAGTTTATCAGAACAAATTCTATTTTCGGATTTCTATGCCTAGCTAATAAATTCAACTGTTTAATTCATAATTCCAACTCAAAATTGTATATTGTTAAATGCATTATAAGTACTCTTCATATATTCTTTGCACATTTAAATGTCATTATATCTGAAGGTAATTAAAGTTATGCGATAATGTTTCCTTTATAAAACACTCAAGTTATTAATTTTATTGTAATAAAGTTCCACCGTGATTAAAGTCAAAAGTTTTTCTAGTAAAATTCACACAAAGTCATGTTCATCAAAAATAAATCTTGTCACTATAGAGTACTTACATTTTGTCCATGAAACACACGTAAAATTACTTAATTAATTACTCAAAATATTTAGCTAGCACGCACATAAATTATTGAACGAATTTCAAATGTTATTACTTTCCCGATTTTTCGTATTTTTCTAAGTCAAATTATACCCGAGGCCATAAGCCATAAAAGAAACTTTTCGCGAAAACGGACAGACTGGACTCAACTGGGCTGGACAACTCTTAACTGGCAACTGTCCTCTCCTTCTAAAAAACGCGCTATTTATATAATTCGATGCTCCCAATCTCTTTGTCCATGACAATCAAGATGATGCAATTTCCTTGGAATTTTATATCATTTTTAGCCTGAAATCAATTAAATATGTCGCAATAATCTGATTTATTGAGGTCAAAACGTTTTTGGTTCAAGAATGCCATATATCATTAAATTAATTAACATGCTGGCCTTGCTAAAAAAAAAGTTCATTGATCGGGTTTTAGTGATGTCACTGTCCTCGTTTTTATCATTTTTAAGAATTTAATTTAGATGATGACTTGGCCGGTGTTGCAATACGTTAGCGTTAGTTTGTTTTATTTTTAATTTATCGATACAGATTTAAAAATACCGGAATTAAATTTTTATTATTTGATAAAATTTAATTTTTACAGTAAAGACTTTGTAATTATCGGGTCAAATTTCTGGATCATCACATCGTCATTGATTAATTTCAATATTAGTTCGCTTAAAAGGCTGAACGAATATGTTAGATGATCTAGTATTTTTAGATAGAACTAAGAGCAACATAGACAAATTAAAAATAGGAAAGTCAATAATACAATTTATAAGTTTAAAAAACAACTTCAGATCTGCCTGGTCAGTGGCGCACCCAGGGGGGTGCTATCGGGCCAGCCCCCCCCCCCCCCCAGGCCGCCCCTCCAAAACTGTATTTTTACGTTTAAATATGTAGCAACATCAAGGCGTTGCACCCTGACACCTCAATTTTTTTTTTTTAGATTTCCAGTCACAAGTCACAACTTATGTAGGGCCCCCTCCAAACATATTTTCTGAGTGCACCACTGTGCCTGGTCCCTTCTAACCTTCAATGTTGGTAGTGCAAATCTTTCTTGAAGCAGTTTGAAATCGTAGCTGTAACTATCCTGGTAGGGAATGTTAGATTTCTGAGCCAAATACCTAGAGAGCTTCCTTTGAACCTGCTCAATCCTGTGGATATGACACGCGCAATGAAATGAGGGTTCCAAACTGTTGAACAATATCCAAATAAAGGTCTTACAAGGCTTACAGTACAACATTCTAATAGCAGATATACTAATAAAGTCTGATGTAGTTCTCTTGATGAAGTCAAGCATACTTGGTGCTCTGGGAACAGGGTTGCCAGACGTCCCGATTTAGGCGGGACAGTCCCGATTTTTCAGAGATATTTCCGAACCGTCCTGATTCACGAATTGAATGCCAAATGTCCCGATTTTTGAAAATGTAAGGTAAGGAAATTTATCTCGATTTCCGGCCGACAACACCCTTTTAGGCTGTGTATCCTTTGATCAATGTCATTGCCTTTGATCAACGCCGAAGGGCTAGAGAAATTGTGGGTTGCCCACCAGCAGTGCCCACTTTCAAACATTTTAGTTCGGTCGACAACGACAAGTGCCGACTATAAAACGATGTTCTTTTTCATTCTAGACCCTAATACCTTCTCTTTCTAGTAATGGTAGAGGCGTCGAAATTCAATGAATTCGTATACAGAGTGGTTTCCAAACCGTTCATGGGTTTCTGACGTGTTGGAACAGGCCTATTCTATTGTATTCAAAAAGTTCGAAGGGCAAGGAATCGACGACATACTTATAGTTCGCCTTACGAGTCTAGCACTACAACGTCTGAAGGGCAAGGGGGAACAACGCCATTCATTTCGAGCTTTATGCTGCCTGTCATAGGCGTGCGCGCAGCGTTTTTAAATATTACTTTTTCCTTATAAATGTAGGTGTGTAACATAGATAAATATTAAGGTATTTTCTATTGGAAGTCAAATAGGCAATGTTGCAATTTTTTTATCCGTATTCTTTCCATAGTGCTAAACTCGTAAGGCGAACTTTAGTACATATTAGGTTTGTTCCAACACGTCAAAAACCGTCCAATGAACGGTTTCGAAACCACTAACCACTCTCTGTATTTGAATTTTGGGTTAGTTCTTATGAAAAATGCAGATGAATAGGATAGATTGAAAATATCAAAAATGCAATGTTTTTACTTATGTACTATTTTTCAATTAATTTATTTTCTTTTAATCAATATTCTATAATGCGACGTTGCCAAGTTGATCGAAATATGAAAAAGTATTTTCTGTGGCCAAAATGATTATGTTGGTCAAGTGTATTTGTATCATTGATTTTGTATTTTTTCACACTATTTTATGGTATAAAAATTCTATATGTATAGCGGCTATAAGAAATAAGTTGATGATGGTTCCAGAAAACCGAAACGTGCTAAAAAAAATCAAATTGCACATGCGTATTCTGCACAAGCATTGCTTTGAAGTGCTTTTACAGATTTGAAAAATTAAAAAAAAAAAAATATATATTCACAGCCTATTTCCGAAAAAACAATTTTTCAATTTTTTCTAAATATCTCAAAAATGTGAATAGCTAGACTCAATCTGCAAGCGCTATTAAACGTCTAATATAATTGTCTAAAACGTTTTCCATTTAACCTCGCTCGTATCTGTTATAGTTTCCTATATCCTAATACATTCCCCATCAATTTGGGACACACTGTATACATATCATATCCATATTATTATAATATAAATTATTGATTATTTTATAGATGATAAATCTCCATCAGACAAGAAACCTAGTCCTAATGGTAAAGCCGCACCGACCTCGAGTATTTCGGAAGAAAAGAAGCAAAGAGAGCATTTGCTCCAACTAAATCAGATTCTAGCCAAGCAGGTCATGGAAATGAGCAAAGTTGTTGCAGGTAAAGAGTTTTTCTTTTTAATGTTTGTGTGCACGAAATTAAATGCATTATTGTGTTATCGCTTGTTATGATTACTGTAGCTAAATAAGGTGCATTTATTTTTGATCTGAACGACTTTTGAAAATAGTTTTGATTTTCTGCACTGTTCTCAAATTTGCAGACTATTTGTTAATATATTATTGATTAATTTCTATTTATCAGTGATTCAGGAGCTATTGAATAGAAATTTCAAATGTATCTACATATTATTGCATGCTTTGTTTTTTATTTTTGTTTTGCTTTATGAGTTTATTTTTTTTTTATAGGAAGCACTGAACCAGACCATCATAGTTGATGTGTGTTTTTGGCATGGCATTTTTAGGTGTGTTTTTATTTTTATTTTATTTTCAGCTTGTAAAACTGTTATTTTGCTTTACAGTGAAAAATTTGACTGCCTTGAAATTGGCACCGCAGCCTTTTAGCACCGAAGAAGAAGACTCGTCCCCGGTGGCTCCATTGCCCTTGTACCAGCAACGCGAAAATTTTTACAGTTAAACAATATGATGAACCATAATGAAGAAAAACAGAAATCAAATTCTTCATTTTTGGTTTTTGTTAGAAGAACAGACCCATATTATTTCTTAGATAATTGTATAACCGATATATAAATTTCTATTCTAAGACTGATATGTTTATGTATAGCATAGACAGTTCGTCCAAGCAAACACCAAGAAGACGAATTTAGTTAAGTGTCAATTTTTCAATCTACTATTAGTCTTATGATGACATGTTTCAATTGATATTATCATTATTCAGGGTATAATTTACAGCAACTCGGTTAATTATTCATCTCAAATGTGCAATGTATTCATGGAGAGATTATTCAATAGTGTAGATCAAAACATCTCATCTTTATTTTTCTCGTTTTACTTTCATTTATCAAACGTGTGTAAATTGTTGTAAAATAAATACGTATCATATCATTTGGAGAATCCATTATCATATTGATTATAAAAAGCAGTCTCCTAACTGGTGCAAAAAAATCAACTGGCAAGTCTGTGTAGAATTTTTTGGTAAGGAATTAGTATATTTTAGCATTTCAATAATTTTGAGGAGCCTAACTTTAACTATGTCTGTTATATGAATTCCGAATTAAATATCTACATATATTTCCTGATCTAAATCAAGCCAAATAACCGATAGCCGAAAATAGGTTTTCATGGTTTCAGTCACTTTTGCTCAGATATCAAATTGTGTATTTATTTCGTCGAATAACCGAATTCGGCATTTGTGTCATATCAATTATGGAAAGAAGAAAGAACAAATATTGGATAGCTCACAAGTACCTATTAGTTATTGATATAAAATGCAGAAAAATAAACCAGAAGGATAGCGCTTATATAAGAGGCATTGTTAAAAAAGTTGCTCTCAAACTGACTGATCATAGAGATATAATTTTCTTGTTTCTATTAGTGTACCTTTATTGTAAAGTACAAAATATTTATTCTATTGTTAATATATTATCTTCGAGTAAGTAGACATTTTATTTTTTCTAATCGAAACGAATTATTTCGTCAATTTATAGAAATCGATGGCCTATATTTATAGTACTGCACATTTTATTTACTTTTAGTTGGTTAAGAGTGTACAAATAACTTCTAAACATATTTATGAACTGACTATAGACAATAAGGTTCACTTGTTAATGTATTTGTATGTAAAAATTGGTTGCTATTTGCAAAGAAAACTAATGATAGGTTCCAAAGCAACATAATTATCCTCTACCTACTTTAAATTATATCCTTTAGAAAGTACTTGTCTCCACAACTCACCTTGAACAACTAAATATTTATAACTTCATAGATTGTTGATGGTGTGTTGAGGTTCATGTTTCTATTTTGAATGCTGGATAATACCCTTCGTTTTAAGGATCCAATGTTAATGCATTAATTATAGTCACATATTTTGCCCCGGTTGGCTCTGATATATTGTTAAAGTTTGTAAATAGATAACCAATAATAATTATTATCGTATTTCTAGGTTGAAAACTCGGTTATAAGAAAAAAGCGCTTCCACTTTTTCTGTGTAAATATTATATATAAATATAAAGGATATTTTGTGTTGTATAAAACTTTTTTAAGCGTTATGTTGCAAAATGTACTATAAACAGTCTTCGAAATAAACGGACATCAATATAACTGTACAACTTTTTTTTTTTTTTTGAAATGACCGCTTGGATTTGGTTGAACCATAGGTGCCCTCATTTATTTTTACCATAATTTTAATACTTCATTATAAATCTGGCAACCCAACACAACTGGGGAGCTTCGATTAGCGTCGAGCGCACTTTGATAATAGAAAGTTCTCGTGCTGTCCAAATTTCAAATACCGTAATGTTATTTGACAAGTATGACAATTCTTACGGTATTAGCGTTAGCGGAGCCTGCTACCAAAGATTGCTACCTAACGGGAGTTAGCGGATGCCTTATCGTAACGCTATGCTACGGCAAAATTGATTTACGCTCCATTTACGTCTGCAAGAATAGCAACTTCTAATAATTCCTCCATAAAAAACACCAAGGGAAAATTAATGAAACTCAGGAATCTTCAGGATAAATAAAAGTTGGCAAACAAGCAAAAAAAAGTTGGGTTAGATCACTCAATTCAGCTGTCAAAATATAAACAGAATAAGCGATTAGAGGATTTTTGTGTCTTCGTGTCCGAGAACTATAATTATTTGCATCTTTCTTTATCTCCAATTCCAAACGAAGACAGAACTACTCAAGCCTGAGAGCTTGGGCATCTAATCTGAACTGAAGGTCTGTTTCTGCAGAAATCACAAACCAGTCAAAGTGAATTTAATTGGTTGAAACTAGTTTTCTGACTGTTTCTGACTATTTTCAAGCAATAAAATTCGTTCTGACTGCATGGTTTGCGATTTCTGCAGAAACAGACCTATTTGTATTGTGACGCTGACTGTAGATTGTGAAGGAGGTTTGAGCTCCAAGAATTCTCTGCCCAGCTCCGCTTTATTTAACCCAGGTTCGGTTGACACGGTGCAAGTAAACTTGGAGTCTTGGACACTGCGCACGCCTCACTTGGACGATACTTGGAACGTATTAACTGTTTCTCTAAGTCCAGGATAGGTCCTAACATCCAAGTAAGTAGGCTGGCTGCCAACTTACTTGGTCCAAGTATAAGTTGTCTAGTCCAGTGGCGACAAAACTTTTCCTCTTGTAATAACTAAACTGCTGGACAATTGCTTTCGAGCAAAAGAAAAATTTCGCCTAACTTTCCAGCTCGATATATGTTTGGAACCAAAATATAGACCTCTGGTTTCCTTATAGCATTTTTTTTCACAAAAAGTCAATCTGTCAGCCCGTGAAAACCGGAGGGCGATATTTGCTCTGGTTCCAAAAATATTGAGCTTGAAAGTTAGGTGAAAAAGCAGTTTATTATTGGTAAATCTGGCAAGAACGTCGATAGAATTTTTCAATTCATAAGATTTTGTTCAAATTGCACCACTGGTTTCAGAAATAATGGACCGTCCCGTTACTTTTCGTACACTCTGTATATTATTTGATAAAATATGACAAAATTTTGCCTGCGATGAAACATTATTTTTCCGTCCCATTCACTACCTCCCGCTTTTCAATTTTGAAAATCTGGCAACCCTATCCCCTAAGGCAGTGGCGTAGCCAGTAGGGGGGCAGGGGGGGCGACGCCCCCCCCCCCCCCGCCCTTACACGTATGGCGCCCCTACCGCTCTTAAAAAACAAAAGCAAAAAGTAGGAAATTATAAAATTATGCTGTTTCTTATTTATTTTATTGACCTCTTCACCCTTTATTCTTTATCGTAAGTCGGCATTGTCGGCAAATGGTTAATGGTTCAGCTCAATCAAAGGAAAGCAGGGCCGAATTTAAGGGGGGAGCAGGCTGGGCAGCTGCCCGGGGTCCCCACAAAATAAGGGCCCCCACATTCTAGAAAAGGGCCAGGACTTTGATCACACATCTTATTATTAAGTTCCCTATGCCTATTTTCCACAGTTTACTCTGATTTTGTACAAATAACTGTTTTTTAGTTTATATTTTGTATAATTTTTAAATATGTACACATTATTTATAAAAGTAGGTATAGTAAAACTTTCCGTTTTTTTTTTTTTCTGAATGGTAAGAGGCGGGAACCCCACATGAGTTCTGCCCAGGGACCTCCACAGTCCTAAATCCGGCCCTGAAGGAAAGGTGATTGTTTCTGTTTTGATGATTGATGTGGTTTTTGTTTATTAAACTATGGGTTGATGGGGTGGGTGGGGCTGTCATCCGTCCAGATTTCCCTGGATTTGTTCTAGTTTTCAAGACGTCCGGGAGGATTTTTTGAAGTTAACGGCTTGTCCATACATTATTTCTTGTAAGGCTTAAAGTACATAAATGTTTTTCGGCGTGGCACCGTCGCACCCGAAAAAAAAATGTTTCAAAAGGCTATAAAATAAACTCTTTGGGCGTGGCACCCGAGGAAATTTTTCGCCTCATGCGGATCCCGCGTCGGGGTTCTCGTCTTGAATATTTTTCCCCAAAAAGCAAATATTACAAAAGCATACAAATATTCATTTGTTATCCCCTCCCACCCTTCCCCAGGGCCGTAGCTAGAGTCAAATTTGTGATAGGGCAAGACAAATTTGACATAAGGCATATACTACTTCCCCCCCTAAATTATAGGTAAATAAACTGGGGGTAATGGCGCCGAAGGCAAATTTTTCAATAAAGAACAAACACATGGCAAGTAAACAAAATGGCGCTGATTAACGCGCCGCCTTGGACCATTCGCACCAAGGATAATACACACTAATAGTGAAATCCATTGCTAAGTTCAGTGCGCACTGAGAGTGTTCCTGTCCTCTTTTACTAGCATGTAAAAAAAAGTGACAGAAATACATGCTTTTTGCACTAATTTTACCAATGGTTTTTGTCATAAGTACTACTGTAGGATAGCTTATCCTCATAAGGCCTGTGTAGATCAAATCTCAAACCCCCCACCACGCCAAAGAACCAGTGATGACGTAGCCAGCGTGTCGTTTTTCTCTTGACGTAGGGTGTTTGCACCACAGGTTACGATTCCGCGGGCTTTTGCTTTATGCATACCTATTTGGTTTTAGTACATTAATTAACATTCTAAAACAACGCTTTTTTAGATCTTCTTCTTTGCCTATTATGTTAATCAAAATTAAATGACATTTTTCATCCAAAATGTATATTCTAAACTACGACTGCTGGCGTAAACAGCTGACGACGTAATTGATGATGTCAATGGTGCTACACCATATGGCCGGGATTTCCACAAACGAGGCCGATAAGCAATGCTGTGTAGTAGTGTTTATTTTCGTATTATCCTTGCATTCGTACTCTTTTGAAACCAAAAACTTCCTCTGTGTAATAGTCGAACGTCAAACATTATTGCATACATTTAGGAGTTTTCAGAAACACTTATCCAGTGTTGTCGAACGTCAAAGTACTAAATCGGGAGAAACTAACGTTGAAAATCGGTAGATTACTGCGCAAAATCGGTAGATATGACACAAGGATAATACACACCACTAAGGATGGCTTATCGGCCTCGTTTTCGATAACCGCGAGCATATTGATGTATCACCATTGCCGACGTCATTAACTAAATCGTCAGCTGTTTGCGCCAGCGGTCCTAGTTTAAAATTTAAATTTATGATGAAAAATATAATTTAATTTTGATTAACATAATAGGCAAAGAGGAAGATGCAAACGAGATCTTAACAGGAGTTGTTAATGGTAATTATTAATGTATAGTAAGACCAAGTATGCATAAAGCAAAAGACCGCGGAATCATAACCTGTGATGTAAACAGGCTACGTCAACTGTCAAGGCGAGAAACGACATGCTGCCACGTCACAACTGGTGATTTAGCGTAGTGGGGGGCTTCAGATTTGTTCTACTCAGGTCAGGTGTAATGAGGATAGGCTATCCTGTAGTAGTAGTAGTGTGTATTATCCTTGGGTATAACCAGGTGGGTATAACATAAAGACTAAAATCCAGCCATGTTTTGCTTTCAGTTTTCTATTTCGTTGTTGAGTATGTAAAAGCCCAGTGATTGTTTCCGTGGAAGTGGAAAGTCTATTTATTTGTGCTGTTTTCATTCGATTTATTGCTGAGAATGTGCGCTCAACATTGGCGGAAGAATGGGGCAATGACAAGATATTAAAAACAAAATCACAGGACCCACGGGTATTCCCCCAAAGAAATGCACTGATACCACCATTGCTAACAAATTTGTTGTCGGAGGATCTATTTGACATCTGACAGTTCTGACACAGACAAACAATTCGATAGTAGACCGTGTGCGGTTATCGATAGAAAAATCAGCGAAAACAAAACCGATAAATTGATATTTTTGGCGAAAAAACGGTAAAAAAAATCGATAGAATCGTAATTATTGTCGAAAATCGGTAAAAATTCATCAGTATTCGGTATTTCGGTAGGTCCGTTGTCATTTCGGTAGAAATACCGAAATTTCGGTAGCTTCGACAACACTGCTTATCCTCGCGTGCGTATGATATTATCCTCGCACTTACTCGATTTCAGGCCTATTCAATCTACTCTTAAATTTCCTAGAAAAACCTCAACGCATGTTGTGTATTAGAGGTAGGGCATGATCATTTGAAAGATTGGGCATTGCCCCCCAATGGCCCCCTCCTGGCTACGGCCCTGTCCTTCCCCCCCCCCAAAAAGAATTATGCGCCCCTTATATGTTTGCCCCCTCCGCCCCGCAAGGCTGGCTACGCCACTGCCGTAAGGAGATATCGTCCGATATCGCACCAAGTGGACACCCTGTATATGAAAATGATATTGTCAACGCTACATGGGATCACGAGCTACAACCAAATTTAACTTACCACACTGACCCACGGGTTAAAACAAATAACTGAAACTAAGCACTGTGAATACGATTTTTTATTCACTGTGAATATAAACTGCGAATGACGTAGGTAATAGGTATGTTGTTTGTTGTTGTGTATGATAGGTTAAGTATGCTATACGCATGGTTGTTTTATTCATCATTCTGTTGGCAACGTTGTCTGGCTGTTGGTCATCGGAGCGGCACTCTATAAGCCAACAAGCGATGGAGATCTCTCTCGTTTCGACGAGATGGCGGAAAAAGTCCTAAAGATATTTT